ATTCTAGTCCCGTAAGTAAAGGGAAATTTTTACACGAGTGATAGCAGAACTTACGAGCTACAAAAAACTTCATATAAATAATGGATCAATGCTCAGCAGAAAAGTAGCAAATCCAAGTTTTGTGGTTTTTGTAAGTGAGTCGTGTTTTTTTGGTTAATCGAAAGGAATATCAAAAGAAATATTTAATTTAAGTAATTAATAATTGCTTCATTGTGAAAGAGATAAAATTTACTTTAAACAAAAATAGACTTTATCATTTTTAAAACCATTTAAACATGACTTTTGAGTGGCTAAACTAAGCTAAGTTCTGTAATTAGAAAAATCTTTCTATTTCTTTTTTTTATCATCATCCAACCCTACTACAGATACCCCACTTTTACAAAAACTTTTACATTTGATAAGCTTTAAATCCGTATTAATTAAGTTGATGTTTATTAGGAAAAAAATTGAGATTGAGCTCGTTTCCTAAGATAATTATTATATTTTTTATCCTGTCAAGTATAAGTACCCCAGTTTTAAAAATAAATGACTATAATTAACTGTTACAAAGCCTTTTTCCATAATCTGGGATTTATCATAATAAACCGGAACACATTTTATTTATTAAAAAAAAATTTGAAAAATAAAAAATTTTAAAATATTTTTCTGGTAAATTGGTTATAAACTGTGTTTTTCACCTAGATCTCTATTATATGAATTTATCTGTATTTATAAGTGACAAAATAAAATTTTGAGTTCTAATATTAACATTTTCATTAAAATAATCGAAGCAATCAGCAGGTTTTTTTTTAAACATAAATTTTAAGACTAGAAACTTTTATTTTGTCATTTATAAATACAGATTAATTCCTTTAATAGATATCCGGGTAAAAAATACAGTTTATAACCAATTTACCGGAAAAAATATTTGAAAAATCTATATTTTTCAAATTAATTTTTTGATAAATGTGTTTAAGCAATTGAATTTATTGTAATACTTCCCAGATTATGAAAAACAATAAATTAAAGCTTTTCGGCAGCTAATTGTAGTCATTTTTGCTGAGAACAGGGGTACTTTTACTTGACAGAATAAAAAATATAATCATTTTTTTACACATCTTGAGTTCAATTTCAAAATTTGCCAAATAAACCTCAACTCAATTAATACAGATTTAATGCTTATTAAATGAAAAAGTATTTGTAAAAGTTGCGTATCTGTAGTACGGTTGGATGATGATAAAAAAAAAAAATTATCTTTCTAATTACAGAACTTAGCTTAGTTTAGCCACTCAAAATTCATCTTTAAATAGTTTTAAAAATAATAAACTTTATTTTAATTTAAAGTACATTTTTTTAAGTTTACAATAAACTAATTATTAATTATATAAATTAAATAGTTCTGTAATTATTCTTTTCGATTCAACAAAAAACACAACTCACTTAAAAAACCACAAAACTTGGATTTGCTACTTTTCTTCTAGGAATTGGCCCATTGTTTATATGAACTTTGTTGTAGCTCTTGAGGTTTTCTATCACTCTTATTAAAAGTTTCCTCTTCTTACGGCACACCCTGTATATAAGTATAATTTCTTATAACTGCAAGAAAACATTTTTCCAAGTAGTTAAAAATTTTAGCTTGACGGAACATTATTAGCAATATGAAAAAGAAGTAGAGGCCATTCCTACAAAATTAAAATTATCAGCAAGTCAACGACCATCATGGCGCCAATTTCCTTTCTTTGCCATATCTCTTTCATCTGATGTTTAGACACCGTTTTTAAATTTACGTCATTTAAAAATTAAGAATATTTTTGAGATTTTGGTTTTTTTAAATTTATTTATAATTTATAATTAATTTTATAATTATTTATAATACTTTTTTTTTATTCACCATTATCAGGTACTCAGTTTGAAAACCTTGAGGTTTGGAAAGTCGGTGCTCACCTACTGAGGTACCCCGCTCCTATTTCTACATAATATTAAGAATTAATAAAGATAGATTAAAATTTTAATTTAAAAAGAGAGAAAAATACCTGTGACGGATATGCAAATATCGTATTTCATTGACAAATTGTCCTTTATGTCCTTAATAAATGAGAAGGGAAGATTCTCCTTCACCGGAACATGATTATAAAAATTACAATAATAACCAAAACAAACAGAAAGTTTTAAAAACTAAGTTACTACATTTAATTATGTTATCTCATTTTAAAATATTTTTTTAAATATGAAAAAATTGAGATGTCAAAAATAGTTACCATAATAATTACTACATTTTTTTAATAAATACTTTTAGTTATTACTTCATAATGATAATTACTACTTTACTATAACATAGACTATTTTAATCACTAATATAACTACATTTATATTTATAACGACTACTTAGTTCAAGATTTATCATATTACTTTAAAATAACCGCCGGAGTGAATCCGATAAAAAAATCTTAGGGTAGTTTTTAACAAAATAATTGTTTTAAAACTTAATTTCACTGATTTTTTATTAATATTGTTATTCTTGTCTAGCTTAATTATTGTTTTAATTTTTTTTGTCTATAAAAATGTATTTGCGCCTGTCAACTTATTGTTGGCAATCAGCAAATGTGATGGCGATACATGAAATAATGACATGACAGACTTGGGGAAGAAAAGTACTCAGCAGTAACTCTTTCCTAACTTGTTCCAATTACTTAGGTTGTTTAAGGAAGGGGATCTCTCATCCAACGCCTTTTTAGTCTCCTCCTCATGTTCTGAGTCATGTCAGCTGTGGACATATCTCTTATTAGTCTGTTATCATGTCCGTTTAAATTAGTGTAAAATTGTTAATAAAGGGTCATTATATGCTGGTCAACTGTTGGAAGGTGGAGGTTTTTGTTATGAGTGTTTATGAGAGTGTTTTTGTTATGACTCACAATAATTTTGATTGGAACGTTTGAATTTTTTTTAGGTGGGTCTTTTTAGCGTTGTCGTATATTTGTGATGAGTACGTCCATATGGGCTTAAGTAAGTATGTATATGTATTCAGTTTCTGTTTTAGTTTTAGTTTTGAAGATTTAGAAAAAAGAGAGTAAAGTAGTTTGAGTCGTTTGTTAAATGTCTTACGTTTCATTTTAACATGATAACCCCATGTAGTCCTTTTGCCGAAGGTGAGTCCAAGGTAATGTACCGTGTCCGTTTGAGGAATTTGATTATTTTCAGTATAGACTGGAGGGCATGTGTGTTTTCGAAGAGTAAATGTTGTATATTTGGATTTGTCATGATTAAGTCGAATTCTCCATAGTGTGAACCAATATTGTAATTTAAGTAAGTGATGTTGTAGAGTTAGTGAAGCCTGTGTAGGGTCCTTATTTTCGAAATTCTAGAAAGATTAAATGGCATTCTGTTTGGAAAATGGCATTATGTCGATTGAAACGTCAATATGTGACAATGTTTACATGATTTTTAATTTTAAAAAACCTGAAGACTTTTCGGCTAAACTAAAAATTGTATTCCTTTCAAACATTATAAACACAGTTTTTAAATAGAAAAAAAAAATGGATTGAAATAAATCATTCCAACAGTTGAAGGTACACCAAACCATTTATAACAGTTCTAAGAGATTAAATCTATTTGATCTTAGTTGTGATCTGAAAGTTATTTTTAATTAGTATATAGTCATCACTAAATATTTACCACCTTTAAATGTTTCTTATCTTAAACTTTTATTGTCATTGCAGGACAATTCTTTCCCCTCTCCAATAAATATAAATTTAATGTTGAGGCAAGTTCGAGCGCTGCATTCACGAAAATGATTAGGCCGTTCTTACACTCAACGATGAATCCATGATTGGAATTCAGCGCTTTCCTTTATTCATCGATTAAACCAACAATGGATCACCAGATCCATCGATTTTTTTTCTTTTTTTTTGTCGATCTTCATAGCTGTTGTTTCTCAATTTATTTTGAATATTTATACTTTCAATCTATATTTGTAACCTTCCAGAAGTGGCAATCTTTCGCTTAAATGTTGATGGATTCCCCCGATGGAATTAACACTGAGTTTAGGAACTTGCCCTTTTAATTTTCTCAGAACGAAATAACAATTAATTTACTCCTTAATAGACACAGTTATACCGATGCCTAATAGCCTGAATACTCGACATTTTAATCTGAAGGGTAATTATTTTGTTATTAAAGGAAGATTTTAAAGTTGAGTTCATTTTTTTTTCTATCAATCTCCTTTGTCTCTCCTTTTGTTATACTTTTGTACATTCATTTATTATCCTTCTACTGTAGCCACGTTACAACACAAGTATTTGGAGTCATTTATATGAACATAATGTGATTATTTATTTGATAATTCTTATTAAATAATAAGAATTAACAGTTATATATAATTACTTCTTAAATAAAAGAAAAGACTAAAAGGTGTAGCGCTACTATATCTCTACGAGTGGATTGAAATACCACAAGGACAAAAGGCACAAGTTTATTAATACATCACTTCTCTCCTTAGTTATTTCTTCTCTCTTAGCCTTATCTGATTTTATAAAAATAGTTTCCGGATGAATTAATCAGGCTTTAAAAGAAAACAATTTTCAACGAGTAAGATCCAAAAAAAAACCATTAATATTTTCAAAATTTTCGCAACCATTATTCAAGGAGGTGGTCTGGTCGGCATCCCTTCTCAATCTCCGTGTTTTTCTCCCAACTCATCAGGGGCCATGATCCACATTATGGAGGCTGGATGTAATCCAATAAGGTCTTCGACCTCAAAATCTACCAATGGTAGTTAGATTGGCTAAAACAAATATAAAAATAAACGTTAATAATCAAGATATATAAGTAAGATATAAAAATAAAATAATTTATGAAAGTAACAAGTAACAGTTGAAAGATTGTTTAATTAAACAGCTGACAAATTATAAATTAAATAAAATAAAATTATTTGTTAGAAAATTTAAGTAATTTACTTCTTCTTCTGCTTCTTTCCCAAGCTCCTTTGTGCCGCTAAGTAATTTACACGAAATTTAACTTATTGGTTAATTTGGTAAAATATATATATAAAACCAACCACAAAGTCGATTTTGCCTGTAGGTTACCACCAATGACCAATGTACCAATGTTCTACAATGTCTGTAAAAAAGAAGGATAGAATGTAAAATAATTACTATAATATAATTATTATAATATATTATTATAAAAAATAGTTATTAAAAATATAAACTCTATTATTTGAGAACTTTTTTATTTTATTTTTTCTGATCCTCCATAATTTTATTTTTAATTGTTTTATAGAGAAAGAAAGAGAAACACTTTATTTTCATAAAAAATAAAATATAAAGGATTGCTGCCCAATTATATTGGGTTGCTATACACACAACATACTCTTCTATCCTTAGGACAATATATGAACCTATATATAAATATACAAAAGTCTTACTTAATATTAGTAAAATAGATATATATATATATATATATATATATATATATATATATATATATATAATATATATATATATATATATATATATATATATATATAAAAGAACTTATACTGTTACAATATAAGTACATGCAATATATACATATATATCTTTTTTCTTCATCCTTACACTGCTCAATGGCATTTTAACGGGGAACATTTTTTAAACATTTCTCTTATCCTTTCAGGTATCATGAAATGCGGGTTCATTGGGATCCCAAACATTAACATCAATAGTTGCTACACAGTCGCATGTCGTATTGAAAATTAAGTTATTTGTAAATTTAAACAAATATGATGGTTTTTTTATCAGTGGATGAGTGGTTAATCATTAAAGAAAAATTAGTTTTTCTTAAAAACAATATTTGTAAATTAATCCAACTTTAAAACAGGATTCCTTGTAGTCTTAAAATGGTTACGTTCAGATTGGTTCATCTTACATGATTGTATATTTTCTCAAAAATCAAGTAAATTTATTGTAATGATATTAGTATAGTTAATTATCGAATTAGTGTTTTTAATGCCTTTGGTTAACCCAACCATAAATATTGTAATAAGACAACTTCATAGGGCATTGTATAAAAACATGTTCTATGAGGTACTTTGTTTTAAATTAGTTTTGTTAAGTAGTGGAGACACATGCTGGCTGAGTGTGAATGCAGACCTTATGTTTTTTTTATTTTAAAAGTCATTGGACAAAAAGCAGCACATCCATCGGGATTATCAAATCCGAAATCCATTAAGAGCCGAGGAAGCCAACAATTCCAGGGTTGATTTTCAATTTATTTTTAAAAACAGCTCTCCTTTTAATATTTCCATATAGTTTTCAACAAAATAAAATATGGCAGGAGTCGCGAGGAACATGCCCGAGGACTAGAAATAGCGATCCCTATCGAACAGTTCGAGAGAGCTGGAGAAGCCGCTTATTGAATCTATTTCGGGTGGCGGTCTCAGCAAGATGTGTGGATTGCTTAGATATATATGGCCCAGTTCAGAGCTCAACTTTTTTCTTTCCTTACATGAAAACTTTCATCTGATTTAATGAGGACACATACCTCACACTCACAAGGAGAAAGTCTTACACAAAACTATCCCAAATCGAAAGTCCTGAGACAAAAAAACTTAAGGGCGGGGCATGATGCAATAGATCAGGATGTCTTCGCCCAATGAATGCGACAGTAGAAGGCAAGAGATTAATGGGGGACCTAGAAAATAGGAAGGTACATTAAAACAAGATACCACGGAAAATAGAGCAGAAATTTAAAACTATAGTAGTAGAAGTTTAATAAGATATGTAAAGCCAAGATGAAGAAAAATCATTAAGGTTATCTTGATTTTTTTTTTAATTTTTATTTCATTTTAAAAATGATTCAATAATATATTTATTTTTAAATTTTGAATATACAATAAAGTCAACCAGTACGAGCAATCACAAAATGCAGAAATAAATCCTTCTTTCTCTCCCAAATTACTGATTTTTATTTGTGTAACATCGGGCTGTTTTTCTTTACAGTAGCAATAGGTCATTTAATGACAAGATACACCCTAAGATTACTCTGTACAAATCTCTAATTAGACTTATCACGTTCAGATGCCATTAGCTAGCGGGTTTTCGAGAGAGAAATCCTGAAAAGGATGTTTCGCTCTATAAAAATGCCAATATTAGGCTGAGGTTTAATGTAGACTTGCACCATATTTAACGGGCTGTGTTGCGATTTATAAAGTTCTTAAGGCTAAGATGGAGTTGGCATGTCGCAAGGATGAGGATGAACCTCCAATCAAAATACTGCTGTTCGGGCGTGTGGATGGAAGGAGGGAGAGAGGACGTTCACGACTGACAAATGCAGATGAGGTCGAAGACGATGCAGAGTAGCTTCTGGACACTAGAGGTTGGCAGTCTCTGACGCATGAAAGAGATGAATAGAGGCGAATTATTATTACCTTCATGCGGTGAAGACTCGTGCCTGGTAGTTGTACCTGTGATTATGACAATGAGTTAATTGTTAAAAATTAATACAAAAATATTTACCTGATACCTGATAGCAGCTAGATATTTAAACAACACAAACAGGTAGTTCATTTATCCCTCATCTTTTATTCACACCTGTCGCTGAATTTGAAACAAGTGGTGGATGTGTTCTTAGAAGATATATCGGCGGGTAATTCAAGATGGAGGTCAGTACCCTTCGGTACCTATTTTTCACATGAACCAATCTGTTTCTTAAATGATAGCTCAACCAACTCCTTTTTATCCTCCTTTGTATATTATCATTATTTACAAATATTCAACCTTTATTTTTTTATTGATTTGATCAAAAGTAAGAAAATACAAAATCATCCGTCTTTCGCTAGGAATAAGGCGTTTCTGTTCAAAAGCTAAAAGACAGGCAGATGATCCATCTGCCAAAGATCAATTCTAAAATAAAATCTTGTATAGGTTTTTATTTACTTTTAAATCAATTAACTACCAAACTTGTGATCCCAGTTGTTGAGGATAAGACTTTGCAACTTTTCGTAATGAGTATTTTAATATTGAATGGTTTGCTGTTACTCCTTTATTCCACCTGATGAGCAATATAATATAGAGCACCTTGGTATAGTTGATGATTCTTAGTTTTATTGAGATCTCGATTAACTAAAAGTAGTTTTGTTTTATGCCAGAATAAGTGGTATGATACTCATCATGATTGATTTTTAAGAAATAGATTGTTGTGCTGCAAAAGTTCTGAAATGAAATTATTATTTTTCTTATTGAAATTCTAAAACTGTTAATGTTCATTCAAGATATTTTTTTATCATTTAAGGTCAAGATTATCATTTAACGATTACCAACTATACTTAATTCAACTATGATTTAAGGATCATCAACTCTACTCATATTTTTAATACTGAAAGTAACAATAACTATAAAAGAAAACCAAATTTCAATTTTATACTTGAAACCACTGACTCCAAAATAAAAAATTCCTTAATTTTGAATCTGTGGCATATTTCATCTGCATACCTCCCATGCAAAACCCAGATTGTAAACTCTTATTTTTTATTTTACGTTCCAGAAATATGAATTAGATTCCAACCATACCTAATACTCACATTTTTAACAAAACACCTTTTTCTCATATGTGTGAATATTTCTTGATGGTAGATGTTTTGTACGATGTACCTAATGATCTTTCAAATTTAAATTTTCAACACCTATAAAATTGTTATTATAAAATCCGACTTTTTTCTATGCTGCGATTTGGGAGCCATGGTTGATCCATATGGTTCATCCTGAACTAAAACTAACTGTAGTTATTACCTCTATAAACTATATATATACATATAAACTATATATAACGCGTCCAATTTTATTTCTTGTTCTTTCTGCACCCATGATTATATCTACATTATTTAATATTGGAATAGTTTGTTGCTAGTTCTCACAAGTATTGTATTTAACCTCAAACGTATAATTCGGTCAAAGAGCAATATCTTCGACAGCCAACTGCTAGTCCTGGCCCCAATACAATTCTTAGACAAATTTAAACCCAGCTTGTTGTCCACAGGCGCCGTTACATAAGCCCCAACTAGTAGAATAGACTTGAGAGCCAAATTACGAATATATCACTTTCTGGCTGGGGTCTGATCGACTAGTTAGCCCAGAGCATTCCCAAAAGCAATTGAATATGTGAAATGCCAGAGATCGTTAATAACAGCGGTGACTCGAAGAAAGGCATTGTTCATGACAAATTTATTTGGTAGTGTTATTGTTTGCTTAGGAGTTTGTGTTGAGAAAGTTTTTTTTTTTAATTTCAATCAAACATATTTCGTAAACTTCATTTTAGATTTAACGCAGCTTCTTAGATGGCAACTTATGTTTGTTTGTGTTCCTAAGAGAATTTATCTTTTTAGAGCTTTCATACTTCTTTTCTTATTTTCTCTTTGGCTCAAAAAGAATATTCATGACAGATGATTTTAGTTTCACTGAGGTAACTGCATCAATCTTTTTCTCTTCCATAATCATATTTTTGCAGTAATTTCTGTGATATTAAGAAACATCTGCTCCCTATTCAACCCAGCAACTAGCTTTCAAAATGTTTTACATAAAATCCAATGGGTTAGTCCTAATTTAGAAAAAAAAAATTAAATAAAAATCAGAAAATTATAAATATTATATAAAAGCATGTGTGTATGTATTTAAGTAGTTATTTTGGTTTCTTTTAGTTTATATACATTTCCTTTTAGTATTTTGCTGTTTATTTATAGTACACAGTGTACCTAAACGAGATACTCTTCAATCACTATTACTATTGTCCTTAGATGTGACAGATTGTAATATATCTCAATAAAGAATTCTTCAAAAAGTTCATAAAATAGTAAGGAGCTAGAAGCTGTTTGATTCATTAACAGACATGGACTGGAGGAACATTACTTTCCAGATACAATAAATTATTCTTAAAGGACTATAAATTTCTTTGATACTCCTTCATCATGAGAATTAATAGTCTCACAAGAAGTAGAATACTTTAAATTAGGGATCGAATGATTTTTTAAATAAGTTTGATTTCAAATGTATTTAAGAAAAAGTTCGCGCAATATTGTTGTTTTTATACCTTTATGATAAAAATATTTCTTCAAAAAGTTCAAGGTTCACCCAAACTTTTTGAACAACTAAAATAAAAGTGTAAGTTTAACAACAACAATTTGGTTCTTGGTTGGGATTATAAAATTTGGTATTACAGGAAATGAATGAGTGGATGTTTACACATACTAGTGTTTATTTTGATGATTTTGGTATGACGATGACACAATGAATTTTCAATTTCGGCATTTCTGAAATTGCTGTTTTTTTTTGTACCATTGTTTAAAATATATAAAAAGTATATTTCTGAAATTACTTTTTTTACCTAAAAATCTTCTATGAATAACTTTCAGAATAACTGTATATAGTGAAATTTTATTAAAAAAGTTATGTGGATAAAAGTTTTAAAATAATTTCAACAAAAAGTTATCATAATGAAAAAGTTTAAGTTCAATAAAACTTCATGTAAGATAAAATAAAAAGTAAAAGTTTAACTTGAACTTATTCGTGGATATGGGGAAAAATAGAAATCTTTTCGACACGTTAATATCTGATCATTAATTAAAAATAGACTCATATTAATGCAAATAAGATAAGTAGATATTTTTTTATTAAGTAACTTAGATTGTTTATGTCAGCCGATTAGTTCTAAACGACATATTTTTAATTTTATTTATAAAGAATTCTAGTCTGCATTTTTTTTTTTTTTTGCTATACAGACTTTGTAGGTCTCTTGCTGCGATACCAGCCTTCTGCATCTCTGCATTTCTGCGGCTTTGCCGTTATCTACATGCAGCTTTGTTGATTCAATTTTTTTTTTTTTTTTTTTGTTCTAGCTCTATTGCCTTTTAGGCTTCGCAGGCTTTTTCCCGGGATTTAAAAGTCCCACTGGGCACCGGGATTTGAACTCGTAATTACTTTTTCCAGCTCTAACTTCGGTTATCAGGGGACGAGGATTTTAACTCGACATAATTTCCCCGCCCTCTCCCTCGGACTTGAAAAAAACAGTCGTAGAATAAAGAGCAAGGAAGTGGAGAACAAAAAAGAAAAAATAGTTATAAAGTTACGCCCGGTTCTGTGAACACGCATTAGAACGCTCGGCCAACCCGACCCCTTTGTTGCTTCAATCTATCCATCTGGTTTCTGGCTTGCCAAATGTTGAGGAATTCCTCATCGTGTTGAGGTTTCCTGGTTAATTTATTTGAGCTATATTCACCGATCACCTTGACTTCTCAATTTTAGATAGATAGATAGAAAGTAAACATTATTCTGGGACGAGGTCCCTTATGAATAACAGATATAAACAAAAAAAAAATAAAAACTACATCTGGCCAAAAAGTACATTAGTCAATATTAAAGAATATATACAGTATCTTCAGTGAAATTATATTAAAGCAAGTAAAAATAAAATCATTTTGAGAAAAAAACAAAATTAAAGAAAACATTATTTAAATAAAAAGAAAACAAAATAAAATAAGCATGGGTTGATTTTTAAAATTAAAACTCAATCAATTTTAACAACCATTCACCACATTCAAAATCTGTTTCGCAATATTTATTTTATTGTATAAAGTCATTTTGGGATGTGAGAAGGAATTGGTAAAGATGATATTTAAATGAGGACAAGGAAGAGGCATGGCGGATATCGGATGGCAAGGAATTTCAGAAGGCTGTGGATCGGGCAATAAAGGAATATTCAAACGTCTTAGTTCTATGGGAAGGGATATAAAGGTCGGAAACACGGGATCTTGTTTTAGTTACAAATTTTAACAATTTTAGTTACAAACAATCAACAATAAACGTGACATCGGGCTTCAAACAATCAAAAATGAAAACATTGATAAACGATTGGTGAAGGAATAAATCCTACATATTTAACATTTAACATTATATAGTATAAGATATTCTTACGCCCATTATAATAAATTTAAATTAGAATTTCTTTGCTTAAAATAAAATCATAAAAAATTATAATTGTTTATTTTACTTACATTTTACGACAAACGTTTTGAAAAAATATTTTAGTATTTATAACTTCCTGACGCACCTGTACAAATTTAGCAAATAAAGTCGTCCACAATAAAATGTAATGAAATTTAGACATATTTGAGCGTAGGAGTTACTCGGTTGTGTAAATAAGGCGATTTTTCATTATACAGTTTGTAATGTTTAAAATAATATTTATAACCAAAGAGCATTAGGACGGTTGCCAAGAATTCAGTAATCTGTGCTGGTCACCAGACTCACTATGTCAGTGGAGTGCCCTTTTGGTGACTAAGCAGCTTTTATATTATAATTCTTTGGATATTTTTATTTGCGGTATATTTTAATCAAATTAAATAGATTATAACCACATATGTTTTCATATTCTGGTAGATTGATAGTTGGTATGGAATGTAGTTTCTCAAAAAAGGTTTTTTTTTTAAACTTTTATTATGATATTTACAACTGTATTAGTATGAATACATCAAGTAAATGTGTACATAGGAATATTATCACATGAAACATGCTTGTTGAGAAACTACTCATTGGTAGCACTCTAATTAAAAAAAAAAAAAAAAGGTTAAATAAAATATCTAATAATAATTAAAAATAGCTAATATGTAACAATTCACACCAAATACCAGACAGAATAAAATATTAATTAGTTGATTATGGCCATGAAATTAAGTAAATTAATAGTGAATAAAATTAAAAAAAAATTTTTTTTGGTTTAATTTCTTTATTCACACCTGTCATAGTGATAATGACAACCAGTGAATGTGAGGTCGTTGGAAAAAATACAAAATTTAACTTAAAAATTAAATAACGATATATTAAAAACACATTGTAAGTAAATTATTACATTTATAAATGTACCTATATAAATTAATTCAATGTCTGTAAAAAAAAAATATAATGGTGTATTTTATTAGATTTTTTGAATATGGGGACGCAGATTCCCCGAAACGTACAATAAATAATTATTATAAAAGATGATTTTTTTATTTTTATTATACTAACTCATGAAGCATACACTTAAGTGTGAATATACATTCAAATATAATGGTCAAAAATTAAAAATAAAAAAAAACTATTGAAAATAATTTAAATTATGTTAAATAAAAATTTAAAATGTTATTAGCCTCAAAATGAAAATGACTGGTTCAGGACAGAACTTATGTAATATTTACATAATTTCAGATGCTGAAAAGTGAAACAAAGATTCCTTCAAATGTATTAATAAAGATTAAACAACAAATTAAGAAAGATCAGTTATTTTATTGAATTCGATCTACTGACAAATAACAGTGAGAAGTTAAAATCAAAAAGTTAACGGTAAAATTTAATAAAGAAATCTTTAAAAAACAGCCGTTATTTAAATATTTACAACTACATTTAAAAACTACATGCAAAATTTACAATCGGCTTGGAGAATTCCTAATCGAGCTTTACCCCTACTTCAAGTAAAAAGATGTATATTTCAGTAGAAGCGGCTTCTCAGCCGCCTCTTTGAGATGGAAGAAAGTCGAGGTTAAACCTCGATTTGTGAAGGCGATCATAGCCAAAAATCCCATAAGAATATTCGCAAATGGTATTATAGCCACTACATTTGAGGGTGATCAAATGGACATCCAAAATTTTGGATTGTTTTGTTCCCATACCTCCCAAACAATTGTAATTCTAGGCAAAGGCAGTTATGTAGCAACGATCATAACAAAGTATATTTTGTAAAAAAAAAAAAAAAAAAACTGTGCCACAACAACCCATGAAGGGTCAGTTAAGATCAGTACAATTTAAGGATGTTCTTTGGTAAACGGTTGTGCAAGGAGATGATGTGACCGAGATCATGTCCAACTACCAGCTTTTCCCTTCATTAATTATTTAATTAAAGGTGCCCACTTTATAGAGGTTGGGTGCGCCACAGGAGGTTCTCTGGACCCCGCAGCCCAGCCGGGATTCGAACCTGGAACCTTAAGCATTGGAGGATCAACGCTCTACCACTGAGCTACCCCGCTCCCTATTTTGTAAAATTTTAAAATATTTCAACATAAAAACTAAAATATATAAATATCTCGATATTGGTTTATATCTACTCAACTTTTGATTATAAAATGGAATTTTATAGTCTATTACTCCTCTCTTATAATTTGGTTCAATGCTATCTTTTTTCTCCAGTAATCTAGATCAGCCTCCACACAACTCTAGATTACATTCTCTATGAATTGTTATTTTCGAGTAAGGAGTAGCAGATGACGAGGATGTTCAATTAAGTTTACTTTCTTGAAAAAAAAAAAAAACAGTATGTCAAGATAGATCATAAAAACTATATATTTTAATTTATTTCATATTTAAACTATTTAAGGTAGCCGCATATGATTGTTTAGCGATCCTAATATCAAGGAAGCTCTATGCTTGAAGCCTAATGGAAGATACGATCTCTGATGCAGGTAGCCGCTAATGAACCGCCTTTATTTGGAGACCCAAACTATTTTAATGTGAACCAATAAAATAAACTATTTAGCACGAGGTAAGAGATAGTGGCAGCCTATTTTAGCACGAGAAGCCCGCCATGTGTGCGCAACCCGGTTATTTTTGCAGTGGGCGTTTATAGGAACTTGATTATTTTTTCCGAAAGAGCATTTTTGGTCTGAGTTCAATAGATGTAGGTAGAATCGATTCTTTGTTAGTTATCGTTTCACAAATCGCAATGCATTCGATCCCTCAGAAAGGATTAATAAATATTTTTAATGGTGGTACTCATATTTGTGTTAAATAATGAAGGTATGAAATAAGATGAGAATCTTTTTTTGAGATGCATTTTGTATTATATAGGGATGGAGGAGATCGAAATTTAATTTCATAAAATTGGGGAGTGGGATGTTTTGAATTATTTTATGGTGGCTTATGGTAGTCAAGCTTTCGCAATAGTCATAATAAAAACTTTAATATTCGGCTATTTGTTTAGGTGCCGCACAACTAAACCGATTACCACCGATCTATTAAAATTTTTCAAGTGTTTAATATTCATTTATGACGAAGCGAGGAGACTGTGGACTTGATTGAAATAATCCAAAAGAGTTGTATTCTCTCCACTTCTTTAAACTCTGCTGAGTTTATCGCTGGCAAAATTAGCTTTGAAAATAATTTATTTCTTGCTCAGTCAGTCAGATGGTTTACATTTTTTTCAACAACCTCAAACGGGAATACAAGCAACATTAGTTTTGAATCCGAAGGAAATCCGTCTTGGCTAGAATAAATATACAAATAAAATTAAAATATAAGACAAAAGTTGAAAAAATCAGAAATTAGATGAGGGTGATAAATAATGTAATTATTAAGTCTTTCGTAAAATGTAAGAAGAGTGCAGAACCACACTAACCAGGAGATAATACAGTCTGTGGTTCACCGATTTCAACCATCTTTTTTTTTTTTTTTGGTTGGTGATACTACTGTGAAAGATATTAGACCTATGTCTCGACGTTCTAGGAGCCGATAAAAAAATATATTTTACATAATTTCAAACCAAATTCCTATTTTTCATTTTTGCCTTTGCTTTTCCCTGATTTTTAGGTTATCGATATATACCAATCGTTTTGTTTTTTGTGTGAAATAAGAAAAAAAATATTAAGAATTTTATTAAATGAGTTATAATGTATCATAAGTTGTAAAAACCAAAATGTACTTTCAGTAAAGTAGACCAAGTAATTTTTTGTTATGAAAAAGAAAATTCAAATTCGATTCCTTTTTAGGGCCCATTAAAACTATTAAATGCGAATGAATATATAAATAAAAACATACAGCCTTTAGTACTTGATTTTCTTGGACGAGTTTTTTCCAGCCATCAACTTTCTCACTAAAAAAAAAAAATTCTCTAGCTACCATACCGGTTTTTAATAAATATTTTTATAGGCAGATAGGTACTAGTATGGGCGCAATATAGACCAACCGTCGCGCCGTTGCTATGTGACAATAAATATTTTTTTAGTGAGTAACAAAGTTGAAACAGGGAGCATATTTTTTCGCTCTAAAAGAAAAAAAGGCCGTTATATTTTAAACATATCAACATGTACCTATTTATGGGAATATTCATTGATTGGAAATCCCTTTCAAGAATATCATAACATATGTCTGTATCTGTCCCTGCACGAGAGTTTTGGAGTGACATACCAGCTATGTCTAAAGTTCGTACTTGTAAATGACGAAGCTTGAATAGTATTTTTAAAATTATTTAACCTCAAGATCGGATCAGATAATACATTACCTGAGAACTAAATTTGGTACAAGTACAGATGTTATCCGACAAAAATCACCTGGGAACGGAAATGCCGTCAAAACGCAACACCATTGACGCATGTTTATCTGGGCATTTTGACAAAATTTCATTCAAACCATATTTATCATAGAGTACACCAAGTGGTCCGGCGCATTTAGTATTTCCGTCCTTGCTACACCATGATTTCTTATTAATTTACTTATTTAAAAAAAAAAAATGAAACGGTATCCTTATCTATGAAAAAATAATCAAATAGGATTCACGATTAAAGGAAAATTTCTAAACAGTCTTGATTATTGTTCTGGCATACTTCTTGGTACTTCTCAATCCTCAGTTAGGGTGAAGGATGAGACGCTTGAATAAACTAAAGTTCTGTACTGATGAATACTTGATGATTGACCGTTGAATAATAATCAGTAAGGAGATAGTCCGAATTGGCGGTCACAAAAAGATTAAACAAGTGACAAAACTGTTTCTCGATGTTGATGTGTTGAAGTCCAGCACTTAATGGCCACACAATGGCCAGCTTCTCCACACACTTCCTGAAGTACTGAGCATCAATGGCTCTAGTGACTCCTTTCAGTCTCCACTGGCTTCCAATTACAGTGATGCGGCTGGAACTGTAGTCCAGAAGCCCATGGCAAAAAATTTATACTAAAGTAAAAATTTATACTAAGGTTTGTTCTTATAGATTTCCCCATGTCCAGAGATCTGATGAGAAAAATTCACGCCTACCAGCATATAGCCGCTGGAATACTAAATGGCGGCCAGGTGAAGATAGATAGATACTCTATATAGGTATAAAATTTATATTCAGTGAGGGCATGTAGATATAAAAAGTTACCAAC